TTAATGGGACACCTGGAAGCCAGCAGCTTCTGCACACAGGGAAATTTCCAACCGAAAGCAATTTCCAAATGAAAGGCAGAGTCCTGGCAACATCAACATTTGCCATGACACTTCCTCCACCCTTTATTCCGTGAACATCATGAAGAGAATCAGGAGAGGCCATCCCAGTCCAAAATCAGGAGTCGAAAGAGGATGGGTGGCACAGACCCTCTCTGGCAAGCGGTTGGCCCCTCTTAAAATGACACCCTTAGTCTGTGTATGTGTAAATCATATCCTGCCTACAGAAGCACTAATTTCTCGTCCTTTCTTTCCACTTCCGGAGGAGTTTGAGTGTGTGTGAGTGTGTGTGTGTGTGTGTGTGTGTGTGTGTGGTGCGTTGAGGGTGATGGAGTAGAGGTCATGGAAATGGATTGGAGTTTTCTACTTCTATTTGAAATGTTTCTATTTCAAACCCGGAGACGATAAGCCAGGGAAGCACTTCAGTCCCCATCTGAAGGCAAGGGTTTCTTGACCGGCATGTTTTGAGACTCCTGTCTCTGACGCAGCAAAGGATCATGGGATGCAGAGGCTAGGTGGCCTGGGCCCGGGTCCTGGTTCTGCCGCTCGCTGGCAGTGGGACCTCAGCCAAGGTACTTAACCTCTCTGAGCTTCAGTTTCTTCACGTGCAAAATAGCACTGAGAATGATAGGGCACGTTTCACAGGGCTTCTATGAGAATTAAATCAGTAAAGCTTCAGGAAGAGCCCAGGGCACTAGGAGGCCCCCGGCAGGTGATTGCAAGAATGGCGCTGTGCCCTGGCAACTGACCAAACCAGAAAGAGTGTGGGTGGGAGGCACTTGAGAGCCATAACGTTGACGGTCACCGTGGTGGACATCAGTGGGGATAGACGGGGTAGATGCTCCCTCTCTGGGTATCCGAGGGCTGACCAGCCCCAAGGAAGTGCGTTAGGGTAATAACTCTCAATTCTCTTTCAGATGACTTTGTGGGTCTCTCCCCAAAGCAGTCCTGGTATGATATTGTTTCCAAGTTCCCCAGGGCCACCTTCCCTCAGGATCCCTCCGAAGCGTGGGACTTCAGTATTTATGCTGACAGCTCATTCGAAGGAACCCCGGATTCCCAGCCAGGGTTCTGTGCCTTGACTTTGTGTGGCCCATTTTCTAGGGGACACTGGGGGGCTGTCTTGTGGCCATCACAACGCACATGAAGGCACCAGACAGGCTTAAGGGGCTGTAAGAGCCAGGGTGGGAGCACCGCTGTCTCAGTTCTCTGCTGCTGTTGTGACTAATTACCTCAAACAGCAGCTTCAAGACGATGCCAGTGTATTATCTCAGTTCTGTAGGTTAGAAGTTGGACACGGGTCCCACCGGGCCAAAATCAAGTCTGGGGAGGAATCTGCTTCCGCGATCATTCAGGTCATTGGCAGAATCGAGAGCCTTGTGGCTGTCAGCTGGGGCTTCCCTTGAATCCCGGGGAACTCTCTTGCGGCTAACACATCCATCACCTCGAGTAGTTACCGTTTGTGTGTGGGGGTGGCTGTGGGTGGGTGGTGGGGACATTTACGATCTACTCTCCTAGTGACTTTCAACCATACAGCCCAGTGTTGTTAACTATAGTCACCCTGCTATAACGTTGCATCCCCAGAGCGTATCCGTCTTATAACTGTTAAGTCTGTACCCTTTGACCGACAAATCCTCATTCCCTGCCCCCACCAGCCCCAGCAACCGCCAGTCTACTCTCAGTTTCTGGGAGTTCAGTTTTTGTAGATTCCACGTGTAAGGGGGATCAGACAGTATCTGTCTTTCTCTGTCTGGCTTATTTCACTTAGCATAACGCCCTCAAGGCCCATCCGTGTTGCTACACAGGGCAAGATTGGCTTTGCTTAAAGGCTGAATAAATGTTCCATCATGTAGGGGCGCCTGGGTGGCTCAGTCAGTTAAGCATCTGACTTCGGCTTAGGTCACGATCTCGTGGTTCGTGGGTTTGAGCCCCACACCTGGCTCTGTGCTGACAGTGCAGAGCCTGCTTGGGATTCTTTCTCTCTCCTGTCGCACTCCGTCTCTCTCAAAATCAATAAATAAACTTAAGAAATATTCCATTGGGTATACCTAATACATTTTCTTTATTGATTCATGTGTCAATGGACACTGAAGTTGTTTCCATGTCTTAGCTATTGTGAATGATGCTGCCATGAACATGGAGGTGCAGATATCTCTTTGATATAATTATTTTATTTCCTTAAGACATATTCCCAGAAGTGGGAAAGCTGGATCTTGGGGTACTTCTATTTTTATTTTTTTTAAATGTTTTTTATTTATTTTTGAGAGCGCATGAGTTGGGGAGGGGCAGAGAGAGGGAGACACAGAATCTGAAGCAGGCTCCAGGCTCCGAGCTGTCCGCACAGAGCCCAACGCGGGGCTCGAACTCACCAACCAAGAGATCATGACCTGAGCCAAAGTCGGACGCTTAAACGACTGAGCCACCGAGGCGCCCTGGTATTTGTTTTTAACTTTTGGGGGAACTCCCACAGTGTCTTCCACAGTGGCTGTACCACAGGCCAACACAGCCCTCCGTGCCTTCATAACCTTGGCCTCTAAGGTCCCTCCCTCCACAAGCTGCCCCTGGGATTTCCAGGCTGCCCTCCCTGTGAGTTCTGGAATGCAGGCTGAAGCCTCGCACCCCATGGCTTTTGCCAGTGCAGTTTCCTCTGGCTGGAAGGCATCCTCCTCCTTCTTTTTTTTTTTTTTAAGTTTTAAAAATTTACATCCAAGTTAGTTAACATCAAGTGCCACAATGATTTCAGGAGTCGATTCCCCGGTGCCCCTTACCCATTTAGCCCATCCCCCTTCCCACAACCCCTCCTGTAACCCTCAGTTTGTTCTCCAGATTTACGAGTCTCTTCTGTTTTGTCCCCCTCCCTGTTTTTGTATTATTTTTGCTTCCCTTCCCTTGTGTTCGTCTGTGCTGTGTCTTAAAGTCCTCCTATGAGTGAAGCCATATATTTGTCTTCCTCTGACTAATTTGGCTTAGCATAATACCCTCTAGTTCCATCCATGTAGTTGCAAATGGCAAGATTTCATTCTTTTTGATTGCTTTGGCTATCGTTGATAGTGCTGCTATAAACATGGGAAGGCATCCTCATTCTCGCTTTGCCCCCTTCCCTCCAACCTCCTGGAGATACCAGCTCAGGGGCATCTTCTGGGAAGCCCACCTGCCGCCAACCCCAGGTCGAACCCAGAGCCCTGAGCTCATTCTTCAGGGAACTTACCTGGATGGACCACAGAGATGTCGGGTGACTCCATCAGCCTCGAGGTTTAAGCTCCTGGAGGGCAGGGGCAGAAGGGCCTTCCAGGATCCTTCAGAGGTGTTCTCGGAAAGCGGGAACTTTGTTTTTTTAATGGTTTTTATTTTATCTTTGAGAGACAGCGTGCATGAGCAGGGGAGGGGCAGAGAGGGATGGGGGGACAGAGGATCCGAAGCGCACTCCTCACTGACAGCAGCGAGCCCGATGCGGGGCTCAAACTCAGGAGTCGTGAGATCGTGACCTGAGCGGAAGTCGGACGCTTAACTGACTGAGCCACCCAGGTGCTCAGAAAGTGGGAGCTTCTAGTGGCATTTATTGAGTGCTTGCTGTTTGCGGGTGCGGCGCCAAGCACGTGCACTTATCGGCTCAACCCTGGTTGAGAGATGTTCTCACTGTCCCCATCGTACAGAGGAGACTGTGGGAGCTGACTCACGCACCTTCACTTAAAGGCTGCTAATGTCAGAAGACCTCCAAGAACGGTGGGTGAAAGCAAAACCATGGGGGGGGGGTCAGATGGAGGTGCCTTTTCCAAATGCCAGATCACTTACCCCCTCACCTAGTCCCAGACAGAGCGCACTAGCGTGGCTAACTCCGTAGTCTACGCATTCTTCCGCATCTTTCTGCGTGCGGAATTAATCTTGGACCGTCTTTCCGCATCAGCACGGAGAGAGCCTATCCTTGCTCATTATCCATTCCAACATCCCTTCTGGGAGGCAACAATTGAAAACAACCCGAATGCCCTTGTAAGGGCAGATACAAATAATTGTCCCTCGTGCCAAAGAGGGAGACCCCGCCTCTCCCTTTCCTTAGAGCATTTACTCTAGAAAACTTGTAATTCTTTCCCTGCTCCTTTTAGGTGTACTCAAGTCTTTGAAAAAGCTGAATAAGTCTCTAGTCAGTTTTGCCACCCAGGATCACTTTTCTTATGGATGGGAGAGCATATCCAGAAGGTCAGTGTCCCATCACCCAGTCTCTGTGGGAGGGTAGGAACCTAACATCAGCGTTGGGCTCCAGGTTGCAAAAAGTCGCCTCTTGTAAAGATAGAAATTAAAAAACAAATTTTTTTTCAATGTCCATTTTTTGAGGGGGGGGAGGGGCAGAGAGAGAGGGAGACACAGAATCCGAAGCAGGCTCCAGGCTCCGAGCTGTCAGCCCAGAGCCCGACGCGCGGCTCGAACTCACAAACTGTGAGATCGTGACCTGAGCCGAAGTCGGACGCTCAACCGACGGAGCCACCCAGGCGCCCCAAGATAGGAATTTCTTTGTCCTGCAGATAAAGACAGCTAGCCCAATTGCCAGGTGAATTCAGGAAGAATTGTGACAAACGGGGCCATCTAGTATCCTTCCTTGAGGACTAGTTATCGTCTGAGAACATGGAGGTCGTAGGCTCGTATCTGCTGGAGGTCATAAAAGGGTGGGGTTCCTGCCTTTGCAATCTCTTCAGCGGATTGTCTGATGTGCGCCACAGTCTGGTTTAATGCTTATTCAGTAATATAATTGTTTTCTTTCTCTGCCGCTTTTGCGGAGAGCTTTTCTGATTGGTGGGAGACTTTTAAATTAAAAAAAAATTCCAATTTTAGGGAGAGAGAGCGAGAGAGCGTGCATGGGTGGGAGAGAGGGGCAGAGAGAGAGAGAGAGAGAGAGAATCTCAAGCAGGCTCCACACTCAGCATGGAGCCTAGCGGTGGGGCTCGATTCCACGACCCTGGGATCATGACCTGAACTGAAATCAAGAGTCAGACCCTCAACCCACTGGGCCACCCAGGCATCGCAGTGGGAGATTTTGTTTTCAATGTTGTCTCCGGCACCTTCAAATGTCTTTCTACGGAGGACTGGTTGAATAAATTTGGCACCCCCACACGACGGGATATGATGTGGCCGTAGGAAAGAACCAGAACCTTCTCTCCATTTTCATTGTTGAGTGAAAGGTACAAGGTACACAGTAGTTTAGCACTTTTTCTGTAAAAAGAGCCTGTATTTGCATTTGCATCATCTCGGTAAGAGTGAAAAAGAAAATGAAGTGTGTGCGTGTGTGTGTTGAGGGGAACCAGGGCAGATAAAGGAGGGGAGACATGGGATTTTTTTTGCTGAACATCATTTTATATTTTCCGACTTTTGAAACACGCGACTGTATTATCTATTCAAAATAAATTAAAGGGAGGGCCGGTGGCAAGCAAGCAAACCACTGAAGGAAAGAAGTCCCAGGACTGGACGTTCTCTAAGCCTTTGATTCTGTTCGTTTCTGAGCTTAGCCTTGACCTTAGAACTGAAAACTGATTATATTGATTTTAGAGGGCTGATCTTCGTTTAAAAGCAGGGAATGTCTCTCTAAAAAAAAGAAAACAAAATAATAATCGGGTAGCTGATGCACTCCTCCCCAGCTGAGAGCTGCTTCCCAGGGTTCTCGGGTCCAGTTCTCAGCCTTGGTGGCTGGGGGAGGGGAGGGGACTCACTTGAGAGGTTTGGCATAGCCCCCCCCTCCCCCACCCCATCTCTCTGCCTCCCAGAAGGTCCCTTGCTTTCCAAGAAGCCGGACTTGAGTCAGGAGCCGTGACGGGAAGGGGTGTGTGGGGGCACAGTGTCCATCCACATTGGGAACCGGGGAGTCAAGATGCCCCAAGATCCCACCACTAGCCAGGGGTCCTTTTACAAGCTCCTCTGTGAGAATAATAGGAAAAAGGATACCGGGCAGGGGTCGTCTCTCAACCCTCCTGGGGTTGATGTGCCCTTAACTTCCCTTGGGCGTCAGGTCAGGAAATGGCCAATGGTGGGTGCTTCTTCCTTTTATCCCTGTGCTCAGCCCGTGAGGTAGGTGCTATTTATCATGGTCCCCATTTTAGGAAACTGAGGCACAGAGAAATAAGCGACGTCACACCGCTTGTGAGGGCTGGCTCGCCCTCTCTGCGGTTCCCCTTCGGACACCCCTGAGCCTGCCTCCGGCCGGGTGCTGCAAATCCGCCGTCGCTCAAGAGCCCGCGGAAGTTCTGAAACGGAACTGCGGGCACCGCGACCCAGCACTGGGGGCAGGGCTGTGCTTTGCATTTCCTGGCCCCGTGGGAGGCCCGTGGCTTTCTCCCCCGCTCCGGAGCGGAGTCTGCGTGGATGTGTAGGGACTCGGGCTCTGCCCCCCGGCTCCCTGCCACTTGCCCTGTGGCCTGGGCCGCGTGCCTTGCCCAGGTTTCCAGTGTCAGCAACGGGAGCGGGTCAGGGTCATGTAACGGACCGCGCCAGGGGTCCTAGGTGGGGCACTGCAGGCTGCAGAAGTCGGCGGAGGAGAAGAGCCTGAACACGTTGACCAGCGGGAACATGAGCACAGCCCCGAGGAGGGAGCCCAGCTGCACCGCCGCCCCACACCACAAGAGGGCGCTGCGGCTGCGGTCGCGCAGGATCACGCCCAGCATCACCTTGACGTAGCTCAGGCAGCCGATGAACAGCACCCAGGAGGCCACCTGTGGGTACAGGGCAGGGGAGATGCAGAGTGAAGGGGGCTTTGGGGGTGGGCCCCAGGGGAGAAGGGTGCTTGTAGGGCGACCTAGCGGGCCTAAGGGAACCCCAGGGAATAACCTCTGAGTTGAGTAGAGCCTTTGGGGGCGACCCTCTAGGGCTAAGGGGGCCCCCTGAGTTGACACACGTGCCCAGGGCAAAGGAGAACCCAATAGCCTTTATGTTCCCCCATAACCAAGTCAAGGGCGTCTGGGAGAAGGCCACTGCTGACAGACGCATGGCCGTCCACATGGCGGGAAGGGTGCGGCATTCAGGGGAGAGGCTGGACTGTCACCTTGGACCAGCCACCTCACCTTCCTAAGCCTCTGTTCCCAAATGAGAAGCATCCCTCCCCTGCCCAACACCACCTGGGGCTTCCTCGGGGAGCAGGCCCAAAGCCTTTGGTCAGTGGAAAGGGCCTTGGCTAGGTGAGGCGGGGGTGGGGGAGCAGCTCCACAGGCCAGGTACTTACAATGAGGACTTCTCCACCCCAGTGGCCCTGCATGAGGGGGCAGGGGCTCATCACGGCCATGGCCATGTTGTAGGCCCCGAAGCCAGTCCCGAGCACTGTGAGGACGCCCAGGAATGGCAGAGACCTAGGGCAGAGTAGGGGAGAAGGACAGAAGAGATGGCAAGCCTGACCCCTGCCGCCTCCACCCCGGGGGGGGGGGGGGGAAGGGGGAGGGTCAGCGTCTCCGGGGTTAGAGGTCAGATCCACGTGGAAACTTCCAGGCCACCTGGCTCAGGTGGGTCAGTGAGGTTCCTGAGGGGCAAGACTGGCCTCAGTCACCCTGAACATTAACAGCAGGGGGAACAGAACGGATCCGGTGCCACAGGGACCTGATTCGGATCCCATGTCCCACTTGAGCTGTAAGACTGGTCTCTGAGCCCGTCTCCTCCCCTAGGAGGTGAGTGTCGCAGGCCTGTGGGGGCCTGTGGGGCAGAGTGTGCCGGGCCTGGCCCTGGGCCCCGCCCGGTATTTTATCTGCTGTCACTTCCTCCTGCAACATTCCCAACCTCGGCCAGGAAGCCGGGCCGACTGGAAGGTGGCTTTGATCACAGCACTGGCACAGCAGGGGGTGTTGTGAGACCTCAGCTGACCCCTTCCCTTCCGGCTTCATCTACCCTGGTCTACAGCGTGAGGTTGGCCTGATCTAGAGGCCCTGGTGGCCTTCCAGGTAGGCTCCGGGTGTGACAACTGAGGACACCGTCCTTCGTTTGAGGTCGTCACCCCTGCGACCTCCCTGCCTACGCTCTTCACGACACCAAGACCCGTCTGTGGTCCTGAGCGAGAGCCGAGGGTGTGCCCCTGCCTCTGAGGACACTTTCTGCTGGAAGATTCTTGGAGCCCCTGGCTTTCAGATTCGGTATTTCTAACATTCTGGGTGTCTCTCATCCCGCAGATCTGTGGCTTCTGCTTCATCAGAAATCTCCAGTCTCCCGCCACAGTTGTTAAGCCCTAAGGGAGGACACTCAGCTCTCTGGCAATCTGACCTAATTTTCTGTCGCCATTCCCATTCTCCCTTCTTCCTGGGCCGAGGGAGGTGGGTGTGAGCAGGTCGGAGAGGACCGCCAGGATGGACGGGGCGGAGTGGTGGGTGGGAGGTTGTGGGGCCCTGAAGTTCCCTGACTCCAAAGCCTGTGTCTCCTACCGGCGTCTGAACCCCCCCCACGGTGGAACCACCGAGGTCGCTTGACTAAATTTGGCAATCTCAGGCCCCAATCTAGACTGGCTTAATCTGCATTTTATCAATTTGCCTAGCCATTCTTCCAGAACTGCAGCTGTAAAGGAGCCAGCAGAAGCTGGAGGCAGGAGAACAGGGCTGAAATCCTGGGAATCAGACCCTCTCTCTGAGCCCCGGGGCTTCTATTTGTACATGGGAACCTCAGCTCCCGCCTGCCCATTCCTTCTCAAGGGCCAATGTCAAGGCAAGTCAGCACTTACGTTGGACCTGCCACGTGCAGGCACTGCTCTAAAATCTTTACAAAGTTAGCTTGTCTTATGCTCCCGGCCACCCTAGGAGGTGGAACTATCATCACCCCCATTTTCCAGATAAGTACCCTTGAGGCACAGGGAAGCGGAGTGACTTATCCAGGATCACAGAAGCTAGGACGTGACGGAGCTGGGATCTGAACCCAGGCAGTCAAGCCCTAGAAACCGTGTTCTTAGCCACTACACGTAGAGCCTGATAGGTGGGGTTTGGAATCCTGGCTTCTGGAACGAAATCTGCCCCAACAAGAGTTCCCCAGGGCCAGGTGGGACGGACCTGTGAGGCAGGAACATGGAGAGGAAGCAGGCAAGAGGGTTGGCCATGGAGCTGAGGGTGGCGGACAGGTGGTAGGCGATGGGGCCGTAGGACAGGCAGGAGTAGGTCTGCACGGAGGGCAGCACGCCGTTGGTGAGCGCGTTTACAAAGGCCACCAGGATGTAGATGAAGGTCAGGTGGGCGGGGTGGGGGGGGGGCCGTTTTCTCCTCTGGACGCCCCTGGGCCTTGCTGCGGTTGTCCCTTGGCCCTGGGGGGCCCGGGTCCTCCCCTTCCCGTGGCCGGATGGAGTGGAGGGTGACCTGGGAGGTGAGGAGGTCTTCTACGGAAGATTCCCTGGGTCTGGGCTGCCGCTGGAGGACAAAGAACGCGGCCAGGCAGCAGGCCATCATGAAGGAGAGGAGGAGGAAGAAGACCAAAGGCGAGAAGTTGGCCGGCAGGTGGCGACTTTCCAGATGGACCGCGGAATGTGCCGTCCCGGCAAGGTCGGACGCGGAAGTGCTGTTAGCTCCCTGGGGAAAGACACAACAAGGCTCAGCCGGATCCGCGGGGGATGTCAGGGCACAGGTAACGACAATGTTGCTAATGATGTACAATAAATAGCATGCGTTGTTAATAAGGGATGAATGACAGAACACATAACTCCTAAGGTAATGATAATAAATGCTCACGTGGTCTGACGGCTCCCTGGGGACCAGCCCTTCGCCTGGGTCAGAACAGTCTGTCTAACCCGAGGGCCACAGGGAGTGCGTGACAAAACCAGTCCACGTGAGTCCACTTGATTCTTTCTGACTTAGGAGCTCCACCTTTTCCCACACTACCGCCTGCCAAGGGCTGCCAGCCACAGATGTGTTCTGAGCAGGGGCAGCGTCACCCAAAGTCGCCCTGTGGGAAGGTGGCCTGGTGTGGCCCAATCCCTCTCTCGCTTTTTCTTTTAAAGCTTTCAAGTCCTCTCCAGGCCCAACGTGGGGCTCGAGCTCACAACCCGGAGATCAGGAGTCGCGTGCCCTACCGACTGAGCCCGCCTGGCGCCCCACAGCCAAATCGCTTTTCAAGAGATAACCTATGGACATCTAGATTTACGCGTGGGACACTTCAAACGTTTAAATGTCTTCAACCAAGTCAAACAGTCAAAGTCAAACGCTTGCAGGATACGGCCGCCTGGGGCCACTGGTCTGCGCCCGGTGATGAACTGCTGTGGTTTGGGCAACACCGGGTGCGTGTGAGGTGTCTGTGAAACGACACGAAGCCGTGGCTAAAGCCTACGGTTCTTGGCCCTGGCCGTACCTTAGCATCACCCGGGGAATTTTGAGGAAATACACGTTCACAGTCCCAATTTTGCAAGCTGGAAACGCAAAACGCTCTGAAAGTGAGCTCCCCCGGGGCAGGTGATGCGAGAGCGCAGCCGGGTCAAGGACAGCGGTCTACCCAGCATCTAGGAAGCACGACCTGGCCGGGGGGGGCGCCGGCGCGCGGCCCGGTCTGTGATCAGTCACAGAGCGCGGCCATGGGAAATGTCGGGTACCTGGGGGAAGACAGTCTTCCTGGTGGTCTCGGCGCTTGGGGTGGTTTCTAACGGCTTAGTGACATTGACACAGGTAGTGAGACCCGAGCCCTGGGCGAGAGCCACCAGCGCAGGCAGGAGGCCGCTGAGCCCTTCGCCCACGAAGAAGGTGGTGAGGTAGTGGGCGGGCAGCCGGCTCATGAAGGGCAGGAAGGTGACCGACGAGGTGCAGTCCACCAGGGCCAGGAAGAAGGTGAGGACCATGAAGGCGATGCTGTGGGGGCCGTCCAGCACCCAGGGAGTGACATTCCAGAGGAAGGCGAAGAGGGTACAGGTGACGGTGCCCACGCCCAGCACGGTAAAGATGATGGGCACCTCCGAGAGGCAGCCAGGCTGGAAGTGATGGAGCAGGGTGACCAGGAGGGGGCCGATGTTGGCCAGCTGGATGATCACCGTGAGGTAGGAGGGGAGATACCACCCCTCGGGCAGCTCTGTCACCAGCAGGGGCAGCTCGACCCAGAGCCCGTTGATGGCCACCCAGGAGCCCAGCCCGAAGGTGCAGACCAGCAGGTGTATCAGGAGGGGCATGGCGATGTCCGCCCCGTGCCGAACGAAGCCGCCACCTCCCGGATGGGCCTGCGGCGGGGCTGCCGGAGAAAAACATCAGGTGAGCGAGGCGTCAGGGTCGCCATCGGTGACGAGACAGTGCCGTGGAGCCCAGGTGTTTCCTGATCTTTCCCCTTCTCCTGAACAAGTTGGCTCTTCGTGATAGGAAAACGGACGCATTCTTTGATGGCTAACCTTTCCAGAGGGGAAAAGCTTCCCTAACAGTGGCTCGTCATTCCAGAGACCGCCAGAGAGAAGTTTGACACATTGAATCGCACAGCTATTGCATCAAAGCAAGCAAACAGCAAACCAAGCACCCTCTTCAAAGAAAAAGGAAAGAAAAGAAAAAGAGAAAAGAAAAAAAAAAAAGGGAATCGAGGACAGTGACCGTCCTGACCTCATCTTTGGAATGAGATGCAAATATGTTAATGAGTTACTGCGTCTTAAACAGTGCCTGGGGCCCAGGAAGGGCATAGGCACCATTTCGGAGAGAAATGTTGACTCGGCCAGTCACCTCCTTTTGCGGATGGGCGGGGTCCGGGGAGGTGGGATTTGGAGCTCGTCCCCTGCAGCACTTGGCCTCCTAACCCCCATGGGAACCCAGGCCTGATCCCTCAGTCCCTCCCTCCTCACATGTCAGTCTTTCTTGTTCTTCTAGAAGGGGCAGAAGCATCTCTGTGGCCATGCCTCACCCGGGGAAATTCCCCACACCTCAGCGGCTCCTTTCCGGGTTCCCACACACAGATCTGACTCTCGGGCCCCAGATGAACTCTCTTCTTCCTTCCTCCACTGAGGGAAGCCAATCCTGGAGCAGAGGGCAGTCCGACCTGCTTTCCGTCTCACCCCACCACCTCCTTTCTGGAGGCCTGAGGCAGGTGGCTTAAGTTCTGGCCTCTCACCTGTTGAGGCCAGCCTAACAGCCTGGAACAGGCCTGGCTCGAGGCAAGCCGAGAGGACCCACGGAGACAAGCTCCGGGCAGCTGTCGCCTGGAGAGGACCTCTCTCACAGGTCTGTTGTGCCCAGCTTCTCGGCCGCTCACTCCCACCTGAGACCAGAATGTGGTCCAGGACGGGCAGGATCTCACTGCGACAAAGCTGCCCTACACCAACTCAGGCAGAATTCTGTCTACGATCGGTGAACCGATATGGAAGGACAAACAGGGAGAGGTTGCATGATACTCCAAGGCAAATGGCTGCTGCCTCCCATGAGTCCCTCTTCCTTTCTTCTTTTGTTGTTACAGAGACCAGATTTTCGGTTGGGCAAACAGCCACCAAGCTACAAGAGTACAGGGGCGCCTGGGTGGCTCAGTGGGTTGAGCGTCCGACTTCGGCTCAGGTCATGATCTCACGGTTCGTGGGTTCGAGCCCCGCGTCGGGCTCTGTGCTGACAGCTCCGAGCCTGGAGCCCGCTTCGGATTCTGGGTCTCCCTCTCTCTCTGCCCCTCCCCTGCTCACACTCTGTCTCTCTCTCAAAAATAAATAAACGTTAGAAATTAAAAGACAAACAGCTACAAGAGTATACTTCCCAGCCTCCCTTGCAGCGGTGCATGGCCATCTAATCGAGGCCAGACCGATGAGGCTGTGAGGACTTTGAGAAGTCTCCTTAAAGATGAGGGGGTGTACCTTCCCGCTCTTCCTCCATCCTGCTGTCTGGAATTCGGGTGTGATGCCCAGAACTCCAGCAGCCGTTTTGCGCCAAGAGGGATGGTGTGGGGGCTAGAGGGAGACTAGACTTCAGGACTTTGTGGCACAAAGCTGCAGAACCAGTCCTGTTCTGCCTGCCACTGAACTATTTTGTTTGTTCAGTGTCGTTTACATTGTAAGTAAGCTTTCATGTTGTTTAAGCTACTCACATTATACATAGCAAAACACGGGCCAAGCGGACAGACATCGATGTTCAAGGATATATCAGACTGGGTATAGTAGCCAGAAACTAACATTTATCTCCTTTATTCTGAGTGTCCCAACTCAGAAGCTCAGGTCTTGCCCTAACGGGGATTTGATCAAAAACCAAAACCAAACATTAGTTGTTGAAATACACCTTAAAGAGGCATTGACAAGTTACGAGTCAACTCGGGAGCAAACATCTTCCAGAGAAATGCAAAGAGATGGATGAGTGGAGGGAGAAAGAGAGAGAGAGAGAGAGAGAGAGAGAGAAAACAAAGAGCCTTAATATGGGATTTGATGCCAAGGGTATAAATTAAGCCGCTGAGTCATTTCATATTGATAGGTACCACACTCCATAGCGGACTCAAAACAGTAGCAAACGTCTGTATCCTGAGTAACATTCCCCCAGAGTCTCAGACACGCCAGGAGAAACGGACAGAAACAGTCGACGGTCGGCGGTGTGGTGTTGATTCAGCGCTCTAGGCCTTGACCGCGGAAGGTAGTGTAAAATAAACAAAGGATATAGGGGAGGCAATAAACGATATTTCTAATAAAGAGGAAGAAGTCAATAATTAAAGGGAGGAGGTGGATTTGCTAAAGAAAGATGGTTACTTGTATCCTCTGAAAAGCTATTAAAATAACGAGAGTTCAGCAAGCTGTCCAGCTACACGTTCTTTCACGCCTGTGGTTTTCCATAGAACCAGTCAGAAAATCTGACTTGCTACGGTACTCCTTTGGGAAAAAGAAATAAAGCTAGATCTCTTTCTTGCTTCCTATTCCCGACGCCTGAAAAAGGAATTCCAGCCGGATCAAATATTTAAATAGTTTTTAAATGAAAAGTAGAATATTAAGTGTAAAATCACAAAATTCTATTCCTGAAAACGTTATCACACTGTGTTGACTCACTTGGATTTAAATTTTTTTAAAAAAAATCATCAAATATATGTAACAGGTATAAAATCAAATATATCAGTTTTTCCATTAAGTGCAAAAATCACGAAATTCTATTCCTGAAATCATCATTGTACTGTATGTTTAACTAACTTGGATTTAAAGAAAAAAATGTGTTAAAAAAAAAAAAAAGAATAAAGAAACCCAAAGAAAATATAGGCAGAAGGAACAGCTTGTGCAAATGTCCTGGGGCAGGAATGAGCCTGGGCCAGTGCGGCTGGAGCAGTGGGCTTGACGGGGAGATGAGAGCAGATAGGCAGGTAAGGAGCCTGAATTTCATTCATGTGCACTAGGTTCTATGCACTGAAAGACTGAATCCCTACACCCCAGAGCCGAGTTCTCTGGGTTCTGTAATTTGAGGGAAGTGATTTGGTCCCACAAGTCTCTTCTCTTGGCTAGACAGCAGTTATGATGGTGGAATGGCCCAGCCTAACGCATCTCCTGCGTGGCTCTCCTGCCCTGGCCTACTTTCAGCACATACGGAGTGCCACATGCTCCTGGACCTGGGAGACACTGATGGGGGATGTGGCCATCAGTGAAATGAGTCAGGGGCGGAGTGGGGGAGAAGGTCCTAGGCAGAGGGAACTGCACGTGCAGAGCACCCTGTTGTTTCAGAGTACTGAGGAGTGGCTCAGAGGGAGTATGCTGGGGATTTTTTAAAAGTCCTTATCTCTCTTCTCTCTTTTTCTTATAGTGACCTTGCAGTGCGGGTGCATTCATTCAACCAGTATTTACTGGGCACTTGCTGTGAAACACTGAGCAAGTCAGCAGTGATGAGGACTGTGGGAGGGGAGCAGAGCTGGGAGGGCGGCATTCCTATCCGGGATTGTCAGGGGGAACACGAAGGAAATGTGAGAGTGAGCGCTGCCTGGGGAGAGTAGTGCCGGGGGCGGGAACAGCAAGTGCAAAGGCCCTGGGGTGGGGCCTCACCTGTCAGGTCCCAGAAACAGCTCTTGGTGTTGGGAGAACCAGCAGGCCAGTGTGGGAGGAGATGGGCAGGTCACACAGGGCCCTGGAGGCAAGAGTTTAGGTGTTTTCTCTGAGCCCAAGTCTCCCTTCCTGGGCAGAGGGAGGACCGGCTGTAATTTCGTTTTACCATAATCACGCTGGCTGTTGTGAAGAGAGTAATGTGGGGCCGGGGCAGGCATAGGAACGAGACCTGCCAAATAGGTTAATTATCAGGAAGCTGGTGGAGGAATCCAGGCAAAAAGAGACAGTAATGATAACAGTAATGAGAACTGTAACAACACTCATCATCTACTGGCCAAGCGCTTTACACACACTCTCCATCAAATCCTCTCCACAATCCCGAGGTAGGCGGGATGATCACCCCCATTTCATAAATGAGTTAACCATGGCTCAGAAGAGCCATCAAATCCTCTCCACAATCCCGAGGTAGGCCGGATGATCACCCCCATTTCATAAATGAGTTAACCATGGCTCAGAAGAGCAAAGTAATGTGCCCGGGGTCACCTAGCAGGTCAGCTGGGAGCTGGGGTTTGAACCCAGGCGCATCTGACCGTCACGGCCTGAGCAGAGCCCCGGAGGCAGGGGGATCGTGAAGATGTGGCAGGGGCCACACCGAGCAGGATCCCTTTACACTCACCCCCGGGCCTCCCCACCACGTGGGCCGGGCCGGGGAGAAACGGGGTGCCAGCCTGTTAGAACCTGAGACAGACTCCAAGGCCTAGATACTTCCCGGGGCCCCATCAGCGACTGTGGGAGAACAGAACCCCAAGGCTTTGAATGAGACTCTTCAGGCTCAGTCCGCTCCATGACACGTGGGCACACAGGTACAGAAGCCAAGGACAGCACCCCCCCCCCCCCCCGAAGAGGTCTCTTTCCTTCAAAGTTTTGCAGTGGAAGCTGAGAGTCCTAGGCCCAGGGGGGTGCAGGGGGTGGGGGTGGAGTGCCAGTGTACCCTCAGTGTGTGGCTGGGCCACCCTCTGCCCCACCAGGAGGGAAAGGCCCTGTCCGACCTTGACCATCGGGAGGCTCTGGTCCCGAACCCTCCCCGGCTCTCTGCTTTGTGCCCTCCTCAGTTCAGTTGCGACGATTTATCTGTGTCTTATCTTTTGAGTGCCGACCTCTCCCACTGTAGTATAATCTTTGTGTGAGCAGGGCCCTCTGTCTCTCTCCCAGTGCCAAGGTGGCCACCTAGTTTGCCAAGGGCTGGGTCGACAGCCTGCCTCAACCATGCGGGTTGAGTCGACCTGGCTGGCCTGGGCCATGCCAGCTGGCAGTGTGGGCACGGTCTACACCCGCTCCTGGACAGGGGTCTGAGTCAGTGTTGTCCCAGAGTCCTCGGTGACCCCCGCCTGGGGCCCGGCCCGCCCTCATGAGAGAGGTGGGGAGGTTGTCCGGGCTGGAGCAGGATGGCTTTGAGACGACAGAGCAGGGAGAGAAAGAACCAAAGCTAGAAGCCAAAATGGGCAGAGAGACAGAGAGACGGAGAGACAGAGGCGGGGCAAAAGGAGGAGGTGGGGCGGAGAGGGCAGGGGGCGGGAGGGGAGGCGATGGAAGTAGGGGAGTAGCAGGGTGTGCTGGAACGCTGGCCTGGCTCAGCCACCGTCCTCACCCCCTCACTCACGTCCACATGTATCAAGGGGCCTTCTCCGCCTCTCATCATCTTGGAGTCCCTGGGCCTTCTCCAACTCAATGTTCCCATCTCACAGATGCGGGGAAACCGAGGCCCAGAGAGGAGGCGGTGCTTGCCCACACCGTGTCCCCCCCCCCCCATCCCCCCCATCTCAGGTTGTGGTGGGCGTCCGGGCCTGTGCTCACCCGCTGTGTGTCCTCAGGCCAGCTGCTCACCCTCTCTGGGGCCTGGTTTCTCCATCTAAGAAAGGGGGCGGGGATGGCCTGTTCTGCGGGTCTTGGCTGACAGGGAGGAAGGGAGGAGATAATGCGAGCCCAGCAGGCCGGCTGGCAGAGACTTCCAGCTCCCTTCCTCCTCCTCCTCCTCCTCCTCCTCAGGGCCTCCCACGAGGCTGACCTTGGTCAAGCAGCCTCCCCTCCGTGCTCATCCCAACCCCCAGCCCTCCTGCCAGGCTGGTGAGGCTCCAGCGCAACCTGGCAGGAATGGCCGTCTAGACTTCCCCAGCGGCGTGTTCATGCAGCCGGGCAGAGGTCGGTGGGGGGGCCCAGTCTTTTGGCCCGGGGAGGAGGGGGCTGGAGTCCACCGGGCGTCCCAGCTGGGCTCCCGGCTCCGACGGACCGCAGAGGGAGGGGCCCTTCGTCCCTCCTATCCCTCTGGCCTCCAACCCAGGAGTCTGAAACTGGGGGGTGGGGGTGGGGTGGGAAGCTACAGGCCACTGGCTGTCCCCCAAATAAGTGCCCCCCCCCCCGCTCAGGGCCCCGTGTCAGCCGGCCCTCGGTAGAGGCAGCCGTGCCCTCAGAGGCCCGAGCCGCCCAGTTTCTGCCGGCTTACCTGCAGGTCCCGGTCCCAAGTGACTCTGCCTGGGAGGGGCGGAGGCGGCCGGGTTAGTATTAACCTGCCCCGCCCAGCCCAGCGGAGGGGGAGGGGCGGGGGGCGGGGCTGTCGGCTGCACCAAGAGCCTACTGTGTGTCTGGAGCCCGGCCCGGCCACCCCGATCCCGAAGATCCCGATGACCCCGCGGGCGCAGCAAAAGGCCCACATTCTCGGGCGCTTACCGCCATCCACATTTTCTGAGGGTTGACCCCGAGAAGGCAGAAGACCTGCCCAGGCTGCCTCTGGCCTTGCCCCAGGGCCACCGTAATTCCTGTCACTCCAGGGGCAGGGCTCCCTGGAGCCCAAACTCCTGGTGCGAATAGTGGAGTTTCAGCAAGTCACTTGGAAAGTGGGGGTGTTAACAGCGCCCTCCTCATGGGGCAGAAATCCTGACAGGCAGTGTGTGCCAGGCACCGAGCTTGGCATGAATCCGTGTATCTACTCTTCACAGCCTTTGGTGGGGGGGGGGGGGGGGCCCACTATCGCAATCCCGCTTTACAGATGAGGAAACAGAGGCCCCGAGAAGCCAAGAGCCGCGGCAAAATAACGACCGACAAATAACCGCTCTGCCATTTTGCAGTCGTTCGTGTCGGATGAAACCTTTCAGGGATCCTCGGTCGCGGGCAGGCAATGCTTTTATTTCCTGCTTTACAGGTGGGGAAGCTGAGACTCCAAAGAGGTTCAGCGACTGGCTCAAGGTGTCCTGGCTGGTAAGCGTGAGGTCATATTCGAACCCAACTCACACGGCCGGGGGGCTGGAGCGGGGGGTGGGGCCGGGTGGGGTGGGGAACGTATGGCCCAGGGCTTGGGGCTTGTACATTTGTTCGTTGCCTGTTGACTTCTGCTAGGAATTCTGACCTGCTTTCTGCCGTGTTCTCGGAGACATTCAATTGCTCAAGAGAGCAATCACTCTCCAGGCAAAAGCTTGGGAGGAGAGGTGAGCAGACCCCCTCCCTCTCGGCCGGCAGGGGCTAAGGAACCATTTGGGCTGCGAGGACACAAGAATGTGCTTCCTGGGGGGCCTCCACCGGGACGCTGCTCCTGTCCCCTCCTCTGATGCTCCTTTCCGACTCCAACCACCCTCCCTTCAGTTGGATCCGCATCCCTGCTGGTGTGGTTTCACTTCCTGCCACCTCACCGGGGCCTCTTAGGGTATTTTTGTTTTCCATCTAAAAATATCTTCAGGGGCACCCGGGTGGCTCAGTCGGTTTAAGCGTCCGACTTCCGCTCAGGTCGCGATCTCGCGGTCCGTGAGTTCGAGCCCCGCCTCGGGCTCTGTGCTGGCGGCTCAGAGCCTGGAGCCTGCTTCAGATTCTGTGTCTCCCTCTCTCTCTGCCCCTCCCCTGCTTGTCCTCTGTCTCTCAAAAATAAATAAGTGTAAAAAAATTTTTTTTAAATGTCTATATTATCAACCCTCAAGGACTCCCCTCTTGCTCGCTAAATTAAGAAAAATGCCTAAGCCTCACATTTCTGTCCCTTCTCAGCTGGGACCAATAAACCTTGACAATTTTATCCTTGTTCTTTCTTATATGTAGCCAGAACTGCTTACCATTCTCTAAGTATTTATAGTACATCGAAGCCACCAAAATTTCCATATGAATTCTTCTATTAGAATACCCTTTCTTTTAAAAAAAAATTTTTTTTTTCAACATTTATTTATTTTTGGGACAGAGAGAGACAGAGCATGAATGGGGGAGGGGCAGAGAGAGAGGGAGACACAGAATTGGAAACAGGCTCCAGGCTCTGAGCCATCAGCCCAGAGCCTGACGCGGGGCTCGAACTCACGGACCGCGAGATCGTGACCTGGCTGAAGTCGGACGCTTAACCGACTGCGCCACCCAGGCGCCCCCTGAATTCTTCTATTAGAATTCCCTTTCTGTCCCATCTCTGGCACAATCCTATCTGTAATTTCAAAGCCAATCTCAAATGTTACCTCCTCCAAAGAAACCTTTCCAGATATCTGTTTCTAATACAACCACTATACATTGGGAGCTTAATAAATGTTTGTTGCATATGTAGCCAGGGCACGGGGGTGCAAAACAGATCTGGTTCTGCCACACGGGCTGTTGATAAAATCCAGAGGCAGAGAGACGAGTAGAGGTGAAACAAGAAAGGAATTGATTTCAGCAAGGCCAACACCGGAAAGACAGAGGACGAATGTGTCAGAGACAGTTTCCAAAGTGCCGAAAATAACTTCCAGGTCTATATGAGGAAGGTGCGGGACAAAGGGGGTGGGTCCCTGCAGGTGGGCAGTGAAGGTCAAATCGCTCCTCCTCCTGCTAGCTCAGGGTGTCCTTGTGGCTGGAGGGGACAGTTTCTGTTCCCAGCAGGGGATGCTCTGCCCACCTGGCAGAGACCAGCTGGAAAGAACCCTAGTGAAAAGTCTGAGGTCAGGACGGAGACAACTGAAGCCCCTCTTTCACATGCACGAATGGATGAACCCCAACCAAAATATTCTCCCTTTCCTTGTCATCTCCAGATATTTTTACAGCCTCTGTTGTTTAATTAAGACTGTTATTGGGGCGCCTGGGTGGCTCAGTCAGTTTAGCATCCGACTTCAGCTCAGGTCACGATCTGGTGGTTTGTGAGATCGAGCCCGGGGTCGGGCTCTGTGCTGTCGGCTCAGAGCCTGGCTCCTGCTTCGGATTCTGTGTCTTCCTCTCTCTCTGCCCCTCCCCCACGCATGCGTGCACGCGCTCTCCCTCTCTCTCAAAAATAAACAAACTTAAAAAAAAAAAAAAGACTTACTATTATCGGGGCACCTGGGTGGCTCAGTCAGTTGTGCTTCCGACTTCGGCTCAGGTCACGATCTCACGGTTGGTGAGTTCGACCCCCTGTTGGGCTCTGTGCTGACAGTGTGGAGCCTACTTGAGATTCTGTCTCTCCTTCTCTGCCCCTCCCCACTCTCTTCCTCTCAAAATAAATACGTAAACTTAAAAAAAAAACAAAAGACTGGTAGTATCTTTTGTGGGAGCAATTTTAGGTTTACGGGAAAACGTCCCACCCGCATTCTTTACAGAGTGGGGCATACGGCCGACTGCTTTCTGAGGCTTGCCTTTTCTACCAAGTATCTCAGAGATCTTGCTATAGCCTGCACATCCAGACCCTCATTCAGTGGCTGCAGTCACTGAGCAACTTTTATTAAGTGCCAGTGAAACCGGCGCTTTCCAGTAAAGTCTCCGCTTCTGATCTGAAAACAAGGCTAAGTTATTGTCCTGCGTTCAGAGTAGCTAGAGGGAAGCGAACTGTAACCCAAAGCCTGTTTCTTTCCACAACAGACTGCCTGCTTCTAAAGGGCAATTAGCCTAGGGAATATACCATGGGGCCTTGTCACCGTCTCTCATAGATGAACTCTTTCTGATGCGCAACTCACGAGACATTTGTGTAAGTGGCTTTCCACGCGCTGAGCGGCCCGCGACCTATGGAGCGTCCTGATGGACTGCGCCTGCGCGGATCAACAACGCCCTCAACTTTACCTCCCCCTTTGTGGCTTCCAATCACATTGGTGCATGCTCTCCCTAAAATCCGGGAAAGCCTCAAGACCCCTTTTTCAGGGTCAGGCAGATTTGAGATCCCACCCCCACCCCCATCTCCCCGTTAGGTGGCCTTGCAAATTAAAATCTTCTTCACTGCAAACCCGGTCTCCGTGTTCGGCTTGGGGACCCACGGGGCCCTCGTTCCCTCATTCGGTTACACCAACAATGTCAGGCACTGGGAGAGATGCTTGGGACATAAAATTGAACAGAGGAGACAGACGAAGCCCTGGTCTTTGGAGAGCTGACCTTCTAGTGAAGCGAAGGGACGTTACATGTAGGAAGTGAGGACATTAGTTAGTGTGTTAGTCCGTAGGAAAAAAAAAGAGGGCGAGGGGAACCCGGAGTGGCAAATGCGGGCAGGCTTCAGAGTGGGGGCAGCCAGCAGAGGCACCCTGAGGGGGACAGAGTCCCAGGCTGGGGAAGGACAGGCCTACAGGTGTTCCATTACCCGACCGCCCCAGAACGAATTTGGCCCACCCCCGTTGCTGGGCCCCTGTCGTTTGCTGCGGCCGCAAACACTGGCAATACCTGCAGAATCCGCTCCCAGCAGTGAACTACAACGTGCTCAGAGAGAGATCGTCCAGTTCATTGCCTTCCAAAGGCGCTGCACGAGGACCACGAGTTTCCCACAAAGAGCTGCCCTCCGGGGCTCGTCAAACGTGTACATTCTTCTGGGAGGTCACAAGGGCGCTCACATTCCACGAGGAGCCTTTCCAGAGCGGAGATCAGCTAATCCGCCACCGGGCCCCCAGGGCAGGCGCGGGTAGGTTCACGCCTAGGTGGTGGGTGGGCAGGGCTTCCAGAACCGGTTCGTGGGGTGAATGGATGAGGGGGTTGGAGGCGCCGCTGCAGTTACCCACGGGGGCCACCAGAGGGCGCAGGGTGCTACAACCTCCGAAGAGGAACCTTCCTGGGGCATCTGAGGAATTAGGACCTTCTCTCTGGGGGGTGCGCGGGGCGTACGTGCCGTGCCGGGGAGGTGGAAGGAAGGAGAGTGGGGGGAAAGGAGACGTAGGCTTCGAGGGGATTAGAGAGAGGAGCTTCTGAGAGTGCCTCTAAAGCAATCTGCTGTCTATAAGGGCCAGTCGCGTGGC